TTTTATTTATCAGCAAGTTTGCATTAAATTGATCAAAAGTGACAGTAAAAACATTTGTAATGTTACAGAATATTTCTCAAAACTGATAATAATAATAATAATAATGTTTCTTGAGCAGCAAATCAGAATGATTTCTGAAGGATCATGTGACACTGAAGACTGGAGTAATGATGCTGAAAATTCAGATTTGCATCACAGAAATAAATTACATTTTAAAATATATTAAAATAGAAAAAAGTTAAAACTACAATATTATTTCACAATATTACTGTTTTTACTGTATTTTTGTTTAAATAAATGCAGACTTGGTGAATATGAGAGGCTTGTCTTTTTTGTAGTTTTAAGGATTTTTAGATAGCTATTTTTACTGGAAAAAGTCAACAAACACACATTAAAACATGTCCATATGATAGTGTACAACAAAATGAACATTTAGCAAAAATACACATTTCTTTCTCTTCCAGAAAATGGACCAAAAATGTTGATGACTCATGTTGCACTACAACAGTTTTTGTCCAGTCAGAGGCCTTCAAGGAATGAGACTGCCCCTCCCCCAATACCAGCTACAGCTGACTAGCAAGTAGCAAATCAGTTCACAGATACTGTAACATTCGTTAAATTTACTTACTTGACGATATTGTGTCCTCAAAATGCCTTGAAGACTCAAATGCAGCCAAGTTTGTGATTCCAAATCGCACCTGCATTCATACGCGTGTGACGTGCAGATGTCAATGCGGGAGAGGAGCGTCTGACTCCGGGCTACATTTACACTGCTGCCGCGGGTTATTATTCAAGTTAGCGGTTCTAAATACAAATAAATAAGCGCTAACAGCACATGACATCGTGAAAATAGGGGGAAATATTAACAGTTAGCGAAACATCTACAGAAAAAATATAACTATTACTGGATTAACCTGGCTGCCTTCTCACTAGACCCTCTGCTTTGCAGCACAGTTAATGATATGCTAAGGATAGGATCCCTTGATGCAATTGGTTATTGAAGTTTGTGACGTAGCAAAAAAAAGGTTGTTTCAAACTGCATTTCTGTGACTGCCTTTGGGAAACTACAGTTTTAAATGGGTCCTATTATGCTCTTTTACAAAGTCTTGATTTTGTTTTAGGGGAGTACTAGAACAGGCTCTCATACTAAGTTGTTCGAAAAACATTATTTTTCACATATTTTGCATTATTACAACACCTCTCTCCCCTTTTTTATGCTCAAACAGCAACATTACAGACTAACTAAAGTTGAAAAAGTGAAAAAGCGTAATAGGACCCCTTTAAAGGACGCAGCTGATTGGCCTGCCACAAACTTGCTTGTTTGTGGCGCTGAACTTCATCAGTGCTGCTTCGCCGCGTGAACTACAAAGTTCTACAAAGAACTACTGACGAAGTTCAGCACCACAAACGAGCGAGTTTGAAACCAAAAGGTGCTTCTGTAGGTGGATATTCAAACATGCAAAAGGTTTTTCCCTCAAATTCATCCCAGCACCCGTCTCCCGTCAGCTAATTTTGCATTGGAGGATGGGAGGGGGAAAAAAAAAAGGTTTTCCTCTCTAAATGGATTCTTTATTTTAAGGGGAGAAAAATTGTGCAATATATACACAAAATATGATGGCATTATTTGTTAACAATAATTATTTTGATATTTTTGTAGAGTTTTAGGAATAATCCATCATCATAATCATCGTCTTTCCCATTGCTCAGTGTTTTTCTGGAAAGAAGTTGCCGACTTGAACCATTACTTCCAACCACTAGTGGTGTCGGATCGCCAACGACAGGCAACTTTACCAGCTTAATGCTAACTTGAGGAATGCTGTCTCATTGTTGTGCTTCCACCTGCTTTCTTCACTTTTTGGGCCATTCCTTGGTTATTTTGCAACGTAGGGTAATACATCAAGAGTGCAATTTCAAAAATATTACAATGCAATTCTTACCTATAACCTTAACAATACATGTATGAAATATACATAGATGTAGACGTTGTTGCATATGAAGGACTTTAGGAGAAGGACAATGTTGAACTCGTGATTTTATTGTTTATTTTGTGTTTTTAACTTGCAGTGGATGCCAATGAGTTGGCCACAATATGCAACACTGCAAGAGCAGTTCAGCAGCTCAAACGAT